CCCCCCCCCCCCCCTCCCAGTGCCCTCACTGGCTTGGTTTTTTAATCGTCGCGCGTCTCCGTGTAATATTTCCGAGGGAGGTGAGCGTATCATCTCCCCCGGCGCACCGGCAGGCGAAACCGCGGCACCACTCATATCTAATTTAGTCGTTCGCGACGACGCATTTCCGGCACGTACGGCGTGAGATTCTCGCGCGCGCACGCGGGGATGACAAGCGCCGCGCTCGCGCTCGTAGTATACGTAAACGGAACGTGACATCGCCTAAGGTATCCGCGGCCGATCAATGACACGGGCCAATTATAATTAGTCCGTGGTACTCGCGCGCTGTCTGCCGCGTGCTTCACCCGACACTCTCGCTCCCGCGACTATGTTGACACTTTCAGAAATTTTGGAACTTCGGTGACGGAGTTACCTCCCTCGGCTTTACATTCACACGCTATTATACTAACCCGAGAGAACTGGTCGCGCTTCTCCCTCTCGATTAGAAATCGTCACGTTCCCGGAGTCGATCCTTTTAGCGGGAAGCGGGGCGAATTATCCGCCAGTTATACGCTCGACGATGAAAATCGGAGGACCCCGTCGGATTAAATTTCACGATATTACAACCTGCCTGCGAAGGTCGCGGCAGGAATGTCTAATATTGATCGGATTTTATCCGGTTTTTGGCCGCGGGGCGGATTTAATTTTTTATTTCGTCCGGAGTTGCCCGCAGGCGACGCGATCGCAATAGAGAGACAGAAAGAGAGAGAAAGAGAGATATTATGCATATCGGCTTACCTGAGGTAGGGATTGCCATACGTCGCGGAAAATCGCGGATCGATCACCGGCGTTGTTTGCGGGGTCGAAGCGCCCAGATTGGCCGAGCTGAGGCCGATTTTTTTCGACGCCAGAATACCGCCCGACGGTATCCTGCTCAAGGACTCCCGCGAGGCGCCTATGCCCTGTGTCGTCGGTGGCATATAATCGCGTGTATAGTCAACGTATGGCACGTAACCATTGTTGTTACTACCATCCTACAGAAACACATGTCACAGTCTTACCTTCAACAACTGAACAACGCAAATAGACAATAAAGCGCAAATAAACGCGACGAACGCTCCTCTATTTAACGGTCTATTTTCAGATCTACATCTGAAAAGCGTTCGCTCTCTTAACACCTTGAGGGCCGCTAACGCGGTCGTTGGTTCGCCAACGATTATCGTTTTGTAAAGAAATATTTGCCGATGCTAATGGTTTCTCTATCATTGCAATATTACAGGGAATATATAAAGGTAGAGTAGACCGAGACGAATTGGACCACAGGGCGAATCGATACAAGTTTTGAGACACGTCATTATTTTTTTGTTTTAAACGAGCTATTTTATCGTGCCAGTTACCTTTGAACCCCCCCCCCCCTCAACCTACATTTGTTTCAAATAAAAAACTAACGGTAAGTGTTTCAAAGCTTACGTTGGCCGCGCTCAGCAGAACGTTTATTTTGCAACTGTTGGGTTTTCTGTACTGGGATTCTTCCAGATGCGAAAGAATAATCCAAATTTAACTCAGAAAATTACCAATAATTGCAAAATAAACATTCTGCTAAACATTGCCATTGATTTGATTTGTCCTCTGGTCCGATTAGCTTCTTAGATATGATTTAATATACACGTCGCAGACAATTTTGTCCTCCTGCTAAAAATTTCGCATTTAATATCTAATAGCGACGACTTTTATTTGCCTATTGGTCTTATTATTTATTTTATATTATTTATTTATTTATATCTATGTCGATCTCACTAGTTGTACACCATTAAACTTTTACATTTTTCGTTGTTTCGATTTAAGATAGTAAATAGCAGGCGAGCAATTTTCTGTGATATATGCAGCCGTCAAAGTGTCAATGTATGAGAAGCTTTCCATGGAAGAACGTACTCGATCACACCGAAACATCGAATACACATGTCCCAAGCCACAAAATACCGGCGGTAAATCACTCACGTTATTTTTTGGCGGGAACGAGGGCTCAGTATAATCAGCACTGTAACGATAACCCAGCGGATTCGGCACCGGTCCGGCGAGAGCCAAAGCGTTCACTCCTCTGGTACTTCCTTCGCCTTCACTGTCAAGGGCTGTGACACTTTCTGCATTGCTGACACTGGATCCCGCTCGAATGTCCGCTTTGACATCTGAGAGGTTGCTGCTCCTATCGCTTTCTCTGTATCGATCGGCATTGGAATCGGTTTCCTCTGCGTAGACAGGAAGAAAAGGTTGAGATCGTGTGTAAAAATACGTTTATCGGATTTTAAGACGATCGTGCCGAGCCGCGTCGGTACGATGGGCATACTAATTGGGGAATTGGGTGTACAATTCACCGATAAACTATTCATGCGGAACGTCAGCAAAGTGCGCATTTACGTTAGAACTATCGAAGTTGATTACTTACGCATGTCGGTCTCTTGAGTCTGCGCCGTCCGCGGCCGCGGCTGCTTAATACGATCGCGACATTGCAGAATGAGTATGACTATTACGCCAATTAGGACCACGCAGACAACCAGTCCAACGATGATCAAAATCAGCTGCCAATCGACTGGAATCAACGCTGAGCGTCACGCCTAGTTAAAATCTCGTTTGCCAAATGAAGAGCAACGCGCGCTGCTTACTCGCTAACGTGTCGCGTGTTCTGCTTGAGAAGCGCTACGAATTGAAAAATACTTGGCGTCTCACGGAGAAAGAGAGAGAGCGAGAATCGTAAATGCGTTCGATTTTATATATTTATTATTACACGATTAAAAATTATTTGTATCAGAACAAACGCCACTCACAACGCGACGTTTTTACACGCGCGGACGTGATATTTATTTTTAATATATTCATTCTATTTTCGTCTGTTCTTATTTCCTCTTTATTCTCGAGCATTTTCCAAGCGGAAATACAACATTACATAGAATAACCCGACGTGATACGAGAGAGATATTTTGATGACATTTCTTGACGAGTCGGCGCGTTTTAATTCTTCGATAAAGGCGAGCTGATTTAAGCTAGCGGAAAATAAAACGCGTATTTTTATTTCGACTCTTTTAAATCGCTCCTCCCTGCAGTTAAATAATGCGAAGCGATTGTAATTAAACGCGACCCGTAGCGACCCGTAATGTTTGGTGTAACGCACGCTAGAGTTATTAAACAGCGAGACATTTATCGAGGGTGATTATTTGATCGCGGTGACGATTAAAGTAGTTTGCAAATCATTAACCGGAGAGCTGGCTGTGCAAATGAGCTGATCTAAAATCTCTCTGATCTTTTAGAAGTGCGAGGAGCGACAAAGCGTTCCGCCACAGCTGCATTACTCCTGCAAATTGTGATCTCCCGAGGCACTGTAAAGCGCGCAAAAGCGCTGTGAGAGGATTTAAATTATTGCGTTGTTAAAAAAAGAAAATGAAGTGTAAAAAAAAAGCATCTTGTTTGACTTCGCGCACGGAAAACCTATTTGCGATTGCACGGACGCAGCGTCGTAAAAAGCAACATCAATTCGGACAGCCAGAGGTGCGAATCTCAGCATGGTAATAGGGTTTAACAGTTCTCAAAAATATTCCAAATATTATGGTGAGCAATAATAGATGGTTTCTGGCACATATACATTACACCTTTCAATTCATGAAGTCATAAATAAAATATTTCACTTATATAAATAAAATGTGTCACTTTCATCATCTAGCTCTCGAATGTGCGCGAAATATTTACGTATCTTATCGATATCTTGCAAATATACAAATGAAAATGTAACATTTCACTCTGTGATCATCGGTAAAGTATTTTATCTGTTTCAAATCTATGTGGGGAACTGAGTGAATGTATAAATAGCCGCTATCCGGCTCGGGCAAACCTGTATCTGTTTTCGCAAAAACAAGCTGAAAACATTTAGATTTGTCGCATCACGTTATTGTAATGCTTTGTACGAAGAAAACTGATATAAAAACTTTCGTTTTTGCTATCTTTTCATCGACAGATTCACTTATCGCGACAAAATCGATTTTTCCTCGATATAAGTGTATTGAGCCGTAAAGAAAAGAATAATTTTTTTTCTATAAAGGTTTACGCTCTTAAAAAGTGACACCATAAAACAGGAGACTACAGTAAAACGGACGCTCTGTACATGTTCGTACGATACGTACGTACGTTCTCGTCGACTTAAACCGCTCTGTTTCTCTCGCGAGTAAACACGACTTCTCATAATCGTTAATATCGCCGCATGCAGTCCTCGTAAAATTAAGACTTCTTCGCTTCTAACGTGACATCATAACCCTTTTTCTTTCTTTTCCGGACGACTCGCGATCCGCGAAAGTAGCGCGATCGCGAATTACGATCGGCCGTATCCGTGACATCCTTCAGATATGCGGATCTAAATTATTAAACGATACGAGAGAGGGTTGAGGGGTCGTTAAAGATAGCGGTGTCCTTGAATTAGAATTGCATAAAACGGATAGGCGATCGATGTACATTGCTCTTCCGAGGAATATTTTACACTCTACTTATACGTCGCTATTATTAGAGGAGATGGTCGTGGGGATAGGTGTTGGAGTTTTGTTTTTAGCGCGCGCGACACTACATGCTTATACGCACCGCGGACGAATATCGAGTGGCACGAACTCCGATAGTTCCTCAGCCCTTTCGTTATAGCGTAATTGTTCACGGCGATATTAGCACACGTTAGTATCCTGCACACTTTTATTGATGTAAACAATATTGCAGCACGTTCTTCCACCGTGGCGAGTCGGGGAGTGCCATACGGCGAGACACGTTAATTATTCTCATTACCAACTTGATAAGACGCTACACCGCCGCCTCGTCGAGATACTTACTCTATTTTATTTTTTTAACTGAACTGGCTGCACTGGTTCAAGGAATTTACACTGAAACTTGAGAATTCCGTACGCTTCATACGCATGAGTGTGTACGTGCATTTCTTGAACTGGCGCGGCCAGTTCAGCTAAAAAAGAAAAGACCAATTTTCTCACACCACGCTTCTCGACGAGTAAGGTGTCGATTAACGGCGTCGATAGTGAATTTTCGTGTATAACCTGAACTCGCCTGATGCAGATATTGATCACGTGATCGAGTATCTCAGTCGTACTTCGGTTCGTAACGCCAATGTCGCGCCAGGGAGCGCATCGGTGTGAACCGTTCCGTGTTTCCGCGTCTTTTTAGCCCGTCTCGGGCGAATTTCGCGTGCGAACAAGTGTCGGGAGTGCCGAGTTCAGCGACGAGCGATCGTTCCGGCGTATTAATTAGCACGCGCAACCGCAATTACCGCGTCTCGTCGATATTCGTAATCAATACTCCCCCCGAACCCGCCAATGTAAGTAAGATCTATTCTGCACATTCGCGCATCCCGCGAATTGCATTCGCTCGTTCGACGAACGTCGAGAGCGTTGAGGGTGCCAAAAATCGCCTCGGGTCGACAGTTTCGGTTGATATTAATTGGCCAGCGTGACCGCGATTAATCGGCCGGCTAGCGGATTTTCCTATGCGTCAGATTGAAAGGTCACGTGATCGTGTTCGAATCGCTCGTTTGAGCCGCGCGCTTCGGTTAGTGTCGCATGGCGTCGGTACGTTGGTTGAATCGTAACCGCTCGGCGTTCTCGCGTACTTTTTATCCGGGCGAGTGTCGCGCGCGGATGAATGTCGCGAATGCAGAATCTAGTGACGAGCGATCGTCGTAGTGTATTAATTGGCCCACGAGACCGCAATTAACGCGTATCGAAACGTGTTCGGGTCCGATGCTCGCCGTATCGCCTATATTGTCGCGCGATATTCCGGCTTTGATCCTTTCGGAGGCGAGACTCGATTTTTAACGTACGTGTTTCGTGGATCCTGCAACGTTCGCTCGTCCGATAAGCATCATAGGTGCCATTATACGTTCGGAGTATCGAAAGTGGCATCGAAAGTAATATCGGAAAAGGAGCATCGGAAAGGGAGGAAGGAGGAGGCGTCGAAGAACCGTCATAAACGTTTAGCCAGTTGTCTGCAACATCAACGGTACTGTGTGAGTCATTTGTCAAGTTTCAAGCTTAAATTCCGCCCAGCGCACAGACGCCGGGATGCTGCGAAATGCATAAGTCCGGTAATTAGAGCACGCATATGTCAAGCACGTAGCGACACCTCGTGCCGGCGAGCGAAACGATTCATTCTCCATGGGGAGAATCACACGATAACGATACGGTACACGATAACATAACCTAAGAACGAGTGGAGGAAAGTGCTTTCGACAGAAAGAAGTGCAGAAATAACTAGGATATCTGTAACCATTCCTTTAGCCAATCAAAATTGATAAGGATTATTCATAGAAATTCCTAACTCGAAACGTAGTTAAATATATTTAACATCGGACTTCTCTTTGAGGGTCACGAGGAAGATGTGGAATCAATCATTCAGTTTCCTGATATAGAGGAGAGGTTAGCTCGATTCTCTCGGCAAGAGATATCGCCTTCTATTTGCAAAGTGACTATTTATTACCGAACGCGCGCGCGTCCTGTGCAACCAAGCTCGCGGGATCCTTCGCGAACTTATTAGGGTGGGAGATAAGGCGCGGTCCTAAGAAGGATAGTAGTTTACGAGCGGCATAAACTTACTGTGTGCTGTCAGCTTGATTATGACGGAATCCGTGCCGAAGCTGTTCGTGACCGTGCAGTTGTAATCTCCGAAGTACGTCGATATGGGATCCAGGAGGGTGACAGTGCTGACTACCCTCTCGGCCGTGTATTCCTCTTGCACGTAGAACGGCGTATTGTTCGACGTGAAATTGAGCTCGCGACCGGCGAAGCTCCACATCACCGACTCCGCTTTTGGCACAGATATCGCGGTGCACTTAACCTGGGCACAAATCGGGCGAAATGGCGGTGAAATAAAAAAAGACAGAGAGAGAGAGAGAGAGGGGGAAGGGAGTGGAAAAAGATAGAGTTGTAGTTAAGCGGTAGAGTCATGCATCGCGCCCCTCTTGCTCTTCCCGATCCCGTCCTCACCTCGTCTTTCGTACTCGTCAATCCGGTAGACCCGCGCCTGTCTCTTCTGAAAGTGTTTCAAGTATCGGCGAGGACAGAGAGAGAGAGAGAGGGGAGAGTAGGAGAGAAAAATGCGGGAACGGGTTTTGGCGACGCGGCACTGCGCAATGATCGTCGTGCGAATCGTGTGTCAGTGAGAAACGTACATAGGATGTTACCGAAACGCTTAAAAACGAGCTTCAGAAGTCAGCTTTCTCCTCATATCGAAATAAAAAAGCTCACGTCTCGAGAGATGTGACTACGAGTTCCGCGGCAGAAACTGAAATCGGTTAATTTGAAAGAGTTTAGATTTCGATTCCATAGAAAATGAATTTTCGTGATAACCTCTATAAAATCATATCAAATATTTATCGTTCGATATGTTAATTATACAGTGACTTGGAAATCTCGAAATCACACAGAGGAAAAATTAACCACAGGAGCTAAAATCTAGCTATGGCAGCTGAAATAGAGACGGCTAATGTCGTTGCTACCGCAGCTAATAAATTTAGCAGTAGCAATGACATTAGCTATTAGAGGTAAAATGCATTTGCTGCAAAGTAGAACTATATGGTACGCTGTAACATCTTGATTCGAACAGCTAATAAATTTAGTTATGGTAACAATGACAGCTGATGAATTTAGCTGCGACAACAATAATAGTAGCTGTTCCTAGTTCAGGCTGCTGTTGCTAATTTTATTCTCTGCGCGCATTTTCCGCACTTATGTAGATTTGTTTCTTCGTTTCGACTCGAGAAGGCTCGCCGAGACCGTTCGCGACACCCCCTACGATTTCCCTCCCACCGTCTCGCGAAATCTTCAAGCGTGTTTTCACCGCGGATAAGGCTGAATTATCCAGAGTAAATTATACTGAGTGCCTCCTGATAACTGCCCCCTCAAAAGACCTTTCTGGCGGTTCCGTGCAATAATTCACGATACACGGCGGCGGCGGCACTCAAGAAAATTACGCGAGCCATCTCTTTATACTCGATAGCGCTGACGCGCGCGCGCGCGCGCCCGGCTGCCGCCATCGATAATATTTAACCGGCCGAAGGACACCGTGGAAGATGGATATACCGTACCTTGACCACTCCTTCGTCGGGCACGTACTGAATCCTTTGCGACACTATGCTCGGCGGGGCGCGAATATAGATGTTAGCGTAGCCGGTCAGTTCGGGAAAACCGGGCACGCGGGCCTTGCAGTAGTAACGTCCGGCGGTGTCCGGGCTCACAAATACGCTTATATTCGGGCTAGTGGCGACCGTTCGTTCCGAGTCCTCGTGGAACCATAGGATCTCCGGGGTCGGATTCCCATCGACGTCGCACTGCAAGATTTCCGTGGCGCCGTAATGCGTTTCCACGGAGACCGGCGGGTGCCGAAACTGCGGGCCGTCTGAGAAATTCAATTTTAACCCGGGTCAGTTCCGCGAAATGAACTCGGAAAAATGTTACTTCCCACCGTCTATTTTAGCACGACTTATTTCGGGAGCGCGGTTGCCTCGCGCGTGGCGAGCGTGTGCCGCCGCGGCGCTCTATTTTATACGTTTTGTCCCCTCTCTCCTCCGGACTTCTTCCGCGCGCGATCGCCTTTAATACGCCGCTTGTATAAGTGTCTTTCGGTAAAACGAAATTTTCTTCCGAGTCTAAATTCGCGCGGCGTGCATGCGGAACTTGGCGCGTCGCGTTGTATCTTACAGCTCCGCGTGATCGTATCTTTAATCTGGTATGGCTGTTGGAAATACTTTCGGGCGAAACGAAATTATTCCCAAGGGGACGTTTGCAAGATTAGAATAGAACTCTTGGGCGAATATAGCCGATATGCACTCCGTCGCCAGCGCGGAATAAGTGGATGAAACGGTGAAGTCTCACGCGTGACAATTGCGGAGAGATTCCGCTGCTGCGTCGATCGAGAGCCCCCTCCCCCGACCTCTGTATCCTGCAATCTTATTATTTCGTATGGGAAATTAAGTCCGGTACTCACATCTTATGTCCAAGGTCTGGCTCTCCTCGCTTTTACCGACCTCGTTATGAACTTCGCACTTGACAGTCGCGTCGTGCAACTCGCGAGTAGCGTTGTGAATAATCATTTCCGTCGTGTAGTCCCCGATCACCTTTTTCTTGTTGATAAACCACCTGCGGAAAGAGAGAGAGCGAATTAGAACGAGGAAGCGAGGGAAGCGCGATGAAAGCATGAACGTTCCTTGTGCGCAATAATTCCGATATTCGCGGGTGTAATAAGCCGGCGTCGTGGCTTCACAGGCGGCCAAAAACTCGCGGATTATCAGACATTTTTCACAACTCTCGAATCGCCCGCCCTACTCATCGTTTCGATATTCTCGCGTCGCTTTTCGCTATCTCTCCCTTCGAATCGTTACGGCTTTTAATAGTCGCACGATGCAGTCAAACGATTATTTCTACATCTCGATGCCAGGACGAACGCGTTTTCCCGCCGACTCTCACTACATACAGGATGTCTTCAAATTCGCAAGATTTACAGACTTGTTTCTTGGACAACACCGAGTTCACGACTATTTTGCAAGGATTTTATCGGACGCGACGTTTTCCTTAATAATTTCCCAATTTTCAACGTCATGTATATCTCAATAAAGTTCCATGTAAAATTTTTATTCAGTTAAGGTATTTAAAATAAAGAACAGATACAAGTGTTTTTCGTGAACTCTTATTGATTACGGATGTTATCAAGTTTTACGTCGTTTTTCATTTAGAATCATTTACAATTCAAGAATCATTCGCCGTCATCGCCGACGAAAAGTCGATCGCGCGACGCGACGGAGAAGTGAAACCTGTAAATTTCGTAACATCGATCTCCGAGCATCCCGTACACACGCCTTATGACGTTTTCTTATCGCACGGAGTAGCTTTGCCTTCTGCCAGCCTCCGAGGAGCGTCCTCGAAGGGTTCGAGCGATTTATCTCGAGCATCGTTTGGCCGCACAATCGACGGAAAGAGCCTCAGTCGGCGTCGTCTCGAATGGTAATAAACGGGCGAGGGCAGACTGCGCTTTTCACGGGAGGCGAAACGGCCTTCGCGTACAATCAGTGGTAAGGAGAGAGGAACCGAATCGAACTGAGACGACGACTTACCGAGCTCGTGTGTCTCTAGAAGAGAGAGACCGCCGTCGGTGCACCGCCGTCGCCATCCCCTTTCTCGTCCCCCCTCCCCCCACGCGTCGCGATCGATTTTATCGGGGCCGTCCGACAGACAATTTAGCTCGCAAAGATGCCGGGGAAAGCACGCGCGCGCGCGAGCGAGCGACGCAACGTACATTCGCGCGGCTACAGAGTGCCATAACGACTCGATAAACATTGAGGTGCCTCGGGGTCATCTCGTATCTCCCCCGGTAAAGATCAACCCTCTCATGTTCCGCAGGACACTTCGCACCTAACGGGCTATTTTGAGAGCGACTTTCTCGTTTTCTCATTTTCTCTCTCTCTCTCTCTCTCTCTTCTCTCTTACGCGCATAACGACTGCAAGATTCCTTTTTCCATACGAGAATCAATTGTACGCTCTTACGAGCGCCCTTTCGCGGACATAAAATATTTGTACGTAATATTTGAGCAGCGACGAAAAGTTCAGCGCGTTACGACGGCAGTGCGACGGAGGAGGAGGAAGAGGTACTTTACGCGTAGTCATTCTGCTTTTTGCAACCTCTGCATGTAATTTTACCAGGGGTACTTTCGGTTATGGAAGTAGCGGAATTAATTAGCATCCAAAATTAATTAGCCCGAGACGGACCGGGCTTATCTAGCATCTGGCGACCCGCCGGCGGTCCTTTGAAAATTGTCTCAGCCTCTTCGCTTAACGTAACGACATCATCTAAAAACTGATACTGATACGTATCGGATAATGATTCTGTCTTTGTTACTCTAGGACGGAACGGGCGCAAAAGCGAGACGGGAGTCACGTCGGTCGGTGCTGCCTCAGTTTTCACCTCCGTTCGAATCTCTTTTATGGGCGGCGCGCGACGACCGGTGTAAAAGCTGTAAAAGCTGTGAAAGCTATAAAAGCTGTTAAAGCGACTGGCAACTAACGTTCGTTATCGCGCTACAATGTGGTCCTCGCTGCTTTACTCGTTTCTCCGTCTATCCTATTATCCGTGAATCGCTATAAGCCGGTGACAAGCTCCCTCTATCTTTTTTTCCTTCTCCTTCCGCGAGCTTTAACACACATCACGCGCTTGAAAGAAGACTGGCATGATTTGAAAAAATTTTCAAACTTTCACGTACGCGCGCTCAATCCGTTCGATTTATGCGCACGGTATTCGAAAAATTCGACGAATAAAATCTGTGTCGTTTCTCGCGTGAGACCGCGGCCGAACAAAAACCTCCGGTCTTGCTCTTCTTTTCGATTAGGTTAATTTGCGAAACTGGATAACCCGATAAGCGGAGATCATCGATCGTCTTATGTTAATACCTCTCACAAATCTTACATAATATTTATCATATATTTAAGATCGTGTCGCGTATATGTGTGTGTATCGAATAAAATTTTTATTAAACTTCCTTAAACTAAATTCTTATTAAATTTTTATTAAAAACTTTCCTCGGAGAAAGTCCGTTTTCCGCGTTGTAGCGCGACACACACACTCTCTCTTTCTCTCTCTCTTCCTCGGACACGCGCGATACATATTTTCTCGAGAGGTGACATTTCCGCGAGCCGATTTAACCCGAGCGACGATCCGATAATCTCGTAAATTAATACGTCGCGTCATCGGGCGGACAGTCTCGCCGCCGCCGCCGCCGGTCCTTTTTTTCCCGACGGGCATGTTGCGTAACGAATAATTTAAAAGCAATCAAAGCGGGCCGCTAGGTGAAACCCGCAAACGCGCCCCGCTAACACGTGCGCGCGCAACACCGTCCTGAATTTGACATTGTCCTCTTTGTAGGCGGATATCGATCATCCGCCTTCTCTTTGTCGCTCGCAGCCGGTGTACGAACAACGCCAACTCGCGTTGCTTACGCGCTCTCACGCGCTGCCCCGACGACGACGTCACTCACCTGTAGCGATACGATATCGAGAGAGTGTGTGAGAGAGAGAGAGAGCAGAGAGAGAGAGATGGATAGAACTATCGATATTCTGAAAACTTTAAGCAGCTTAAGATCCGGAGTTGACAGATCACTTAAGAGGAAGGGAAGACTAACGCGATCCGCATCGCGGGATCACCGCGCAGTCAAATTATATTATGCGCGCGAAGAAGCATCTCCAGCCAGATGAAAACCATTTCGAAGCAAAAGTACATGTATTTCGAGAATCGAGATTTGGAAATGTCATTTGCAGCAACATTTCCCCCTCAAGAACGAAATATCGAGAAAATTTGATTGCGCACGTTAACATACGCATTCGGCTTCCACTCTTCCGCCGATATCAATATTTTATTTATTACAGTAATTGCAAAGGTATAAAGAGTGCAATCGTTATCACTTTGAAACACGAGCCAAATTATATCGAGCTTAATGCGCAAGGCGGGCGACCTCAATTTGGGGCGCAGCTCGAGCCGCAGCCGAAAAACTGGACCGTAAAATTTGCCCCCTCTCGAAACAATAATAATTAGTCTCGTAATTATATCAGCTTCTTTGTACCACCGTGGCGCAATTTACGGTCAACGCGAGAACCGACGTGCGGTTTACGCAGTGCTGCGGTTTTATTTATTATGCTAAGACATCGCACCCCTTCCGCGCGAACGAACTTGGACTTTCCCCTGTGGCACCGGATATTATTGTAGTATCGATACTTTCTTTTCGCGTCCCCACTTACTTGTACTCCACTGTAGGTGGGTTGGCCTCGGCGCAACATCGGAACCTAAGCTCGGAGCCTTCGACGATGCGATCGATCTTCGAGAGGGACACCTTCGGCGCGTAGCGTACCTGAAAAGTATCGCGTAAATCGAGCTCTCGGTCTTTCTCGCTGCTCTCCCTCTCCCTCTATGCTTTATCACGCGGGAATCGAACACGGTTCATTCGATATTACCGTCATGCTCTCATCCGGAATGTGCTACGTGCGTAGTCCGGAATAATGATGCTGCATATCCATTACCTCGCGTTTGAAATTTTCGAGAAGCGTTCGTTACATATTTCACAAGGGAAATCGGAGATATTTCGCGATACACTGAGAAGCTTATTTATTGCGTGTCTTTAGAATTCCACTCTTTAATTCGTCTTTTTTTTACTCGTGCTAGTTTCTGTTCTTTTAAGATCTCTAAGTTTTAAGTGCTCCATTTGTTGCCGCAGCAAATATTCCAGATTCACGATGTGGGACTTTTAATTTACCGATTATTCGATCGGCTGGAACCAAGTCTTTTTATAAATGTCAAAGTACCGGCGCTTTTGTGCGAACGGCGAGAAATATCCTGGGAGTACAGCTTTGGAATTGTAATTGATAACAAAAACTTTATTCCTCTCACTAAACCTCGGGTTTACTTTAACGGAAATTTAATTTAAAGGTTAATTACAAAGGTATTTAATCTTTACATCGAGATACTGATATTAAATTAAAACGTTATTGGAACATTGTACCATAAGACGGTATTTGATTAAATTCGCCCCGAGCAAAACTCTATCGAATTACTTGAAAGAATTCGCGATCAAAAGAGGCGCGATTATATTTTAATGACGGATTGTTTAGCATCAACTGTGTAATTCTTTTTCCTTCCTCTTCCATACCGCCCAAAGGCTGTCCGTTTTGTAAGAGACGTATAACGCGAGAAACGCGCTCCGCGCGTTATATCCAGAATTAAAAACGACTTTATCGATGGCCGCGCGAACTATAAAGAGACTCAACACGTCGCAGAAATACGATCTCGCATTTCTCGAATACGCTTGCGTAAGAATTGCTTCCAATTAGGACGATATTAAAGCTGAACTTATATAGAAGTCGTGAAAAGCGTAATATATCCGACGCGGTGTAAAAGAGTTAAGTAATAACTCGTAAGAATTTTCTGCAGGTGGGGGCGCGGACGCGCGGAGTGGAGAGCGGCGCGTTCATAATATCGCGCCGTCCTCGTCGTCGCAAATTCGAATGTTCCCGGGCAAAAATCTCGGGTCCGCTTCGTTGCCTTTTCCATGAAACTATTTGTTCCCTTTGCCACTCCGGATAATGGAGTCTACGTCTGAAGAAAAGAGGGCGGAAGTACCCGGAGCGCCAAAGTACTCGCGCTCGCGGCACGAAAGTTGCGCCAGCGGATGGCGATTACCGCGCTAACCGCTTCTCAAGACACGACGTTAATTATTATACGTCGCCTCGTTACCCTCGTTACCCTCCTGGCCGCTTTCGCGACTCGCGTTAATTTCTTTCTCCGGTCAGCGAGTAAAAAGAGCGCGCAAAAGGCAGTGATTTTATTTCCCTTTAAGCGAGATTTCTATCTTCCCCTACCTCTGTTCATTTCCCTCCGCTTTATTCCCCTTTGATTTTTCTCGCCGCCAGGGCCGGCCCCAATCCGGCCCTACAACCGCGTCCTATAACTCCGTTCCTACGAGACCGTAACCATAATTGCCGTCTGCAGCGCGGATATATTGCGTAATAATATACAGGTCTGTTTCAAGAATAAGTCGCTAAACTCGCTTCGCTTCAAATTACGCGAAAGGTAAGGTTTCGTGATTTAATTTTTTTTCCTTCTCTCGGAAGTTGGAGCTTGTTTCGCGAAAAGCATTATTAAAAAGTTTTATTTTCGATCACTCAAATCATTATACTAATCTTGAAATAAGTCTCAGGAGAGGTCGGAGACTTCGTTTAAAATTATACTTTCTATATATTTCTGGTGCGTTCGCGTAACTATCTTAAACCGAGAAGACAGGGAGGAAGACGAAGAGTCCCCGCTTTGAGAGAACGATTTAAATTGGACTTCCGCATTTATACCGGGAGTGATTCGCGATAGTACGCACCTCGACGCGAAGTTTGGCGTTCTGCGGCGTGCGATCCGCTGCGTTTTGGCTTTGGCACGTGAAGGTCGTGTTGTCGTGGTCCTTCCGTGGCATTACCCTCAGGATAGACTTCACCGTGAAGAGCGGGCCATTATCGTACGACTCTTTCGTGGTTTTGATGCCACGATGAAGCACGTTGCCCAGTCCATCGATCCACGTGATCTGCAAGAAACGTTACAGTTAAAAATAGCGTTGCTCGAGAAAAACGCCCGCGCAGGGGAATTGACCCGTGACTGGAATGCTTATGATTTTGTTGCCGTAATGGTGGGTTTTAGATGCCCGGCTTTTTTGCCCGCGACATTTTTAGCGAAACGTTCAGCAACAAATACAGCATGACATTCTGACACCACACCGGAAGCAATCGCGCAGTTACGACACGCGACTCGAATATCTCTCTTGTCGCGTCGCGTATATTCGAATTCTGTGCGGAGCGCAACGAATTTCACGACGAATCTCCAACTAGAACGCTTGTTTTCGCGTTATGTAATCACGTCCAATTTGAGTCACCGTTTGCTGGCTAGACGGATGGTAAAAAGCGTCGCGCAAAAACGGCGATTCGTTCGATTCGATCGATCGGTCGATGGTGGAAGAAAGTCGCGAGAGCGAATTTCCGCGCGTAATGCTAGAACGAGCGCCCGGCGGTTCTGCGGAACCTGTTCAGAACAGAATCACGCGCACGCGCTCACACGTATGCGCGGTGCGTGTCGCGGAAATCAAGCTTATCGGCTCTAATTAGACACCTCATGCGAGAGTTCCTGCTGTTTGTTATCGATATGAGATCTCCGGGCTGCAAGTGCCGCAGCGTCCTTCCGCGTTCACGTTAGGGATCACCGGAATAATCGTATTTCCACAGAGCCGCTGCCGTACTGATTAGAGTTCACGATATCGTGCTTCGATAGTATCGCAATTTAGTATCCGCTCTTTCGCGACGCTTTTCCGGTTGTGCTAACAATTTTTCAGCTTTATCGGCGAACAGATGTCGCCCGGAAGTATTTCGCTTCTGGCGCGTGTTCTCGTGATTGTTCCGATAATTTGATGATTAATGAACGACGCGCATTAATCAGTAGTCGTACCTCTCTCTTTCTTTCTCTCTCTCTCTCTCTCTCTCTTTCACTCTGTCACCGAAGTGTATGCAATACTTGTTCAGAATAACAGCGACAGGTTCTTTTTTAGTAGCAACGTGCTAATACACTTTTGAGTGCATTTTGCATTACGGAATAAAAACTCCGATAATGGTGAGTGGCTCCATATTGCGTAACTGCGTCCAAAGGTATATAATATTATTGCTAGCGCAGCTACACGTACGGTATAATGGCGAAATCATGATATATAGAGCCAAAAGTACTACGACCTCAGTANCCCCCCCCCCCCCTCCTCCCTCCCCATCCACATACATATTACACTTTTCTCCATAAATGCGCGAAAATATCTTGGAACGCGCGGGAAATATCGGAACTCGCAACGATTCGCGCGAACGCAAGCTCTCTCGAACGCGGCTCTCTCTTCCTTTCAATCAGCACATCGAATATGCTTTTTATTGACGCCTTCTCGCCGGGTTCGTTTAGCCGCTTTTCTAACTGCGGGCTCCGCAGGAAATCGATCTCGTCCGCTCTAATTAGGAGTTCTGCGGTCCCGCGGTGCAGTACCATTTACTATTGTGCCACGAGCGCGAATCACATTACCACGTAAAGTGCATCTGCCTAAAAGAACGAAGGACAAAGATCGGCTTTTATGCCGCGTCCTCTCGCATAATTTCTCCGCGACTGACGCTCGCAAAAAATTTAAAAATACAAGGTCCCTCGGTGGAAAAAGTCAAATTCGTCGAGAATCGCGCATCACCCCTCCACGGTGTTTTTCCGAGGTATTCGGAGCCGACTTAAAAATTAACAAGTGAATCGGGGCGCGTCGCTCGCGAATGGAAATATCATTTATCGCGAAATCGTTATTGCGGCACTTCACCTCGTTTTTATTTCGAATCTTCGTTTTATCTTTCCTCGAGCATGGGGCCGGCTCCGGCTAATCTCTATCGAGCCGTCACTCTCGCTTTACCACCCGCTTAATCACCCGATATCTATTTTTTACGTTTTGCGGTATTGAAGCGAGGCGTTCCGCATCGGATCCGTAGTCGGGAAATACGTGTACGCGGCGATGCCTTCCAGGGGCACGAGATTTCGAGGCGCGTCCAGCTTTATTACGAGACGTATTGAGAATCGTATCAGGATATCCCGTAGCGGTTTTCTCGTAAGATGAATAGATTCACAACTAATAATTTCCCGTGGGCATCCACGAGCCCCCCGGCAGCCTCGGACTCGCGATGGACAATAGCTCAGAAAGTGGAGTTACGGGATGTAGAAGCGACGCGGCGAGGCGGAGAGAGAATGCTGGTAGCGGAGAGGAGAGAAAGGGAGAAACAGAGAGGGAGGGACAGAGGTGCTGAAGAAGGCGGCAGGGGGAATTGCGCGAGTAAATGCCCTATCCCGTTGTTGGAGCTGTTTAATTACTAGTTATCAGTTGAAAGGCAAACGGAGAGACGCGGGCGCGCGAGAACGGGTCGAGGAAAGAAGAGAGAAGCGAAATCGGATTATGGCGGGCTGCGAAGCATTCGACTGTGGTGACTCTGAATTTCTAGTGGAATTGCATCGTCTCTTCCTCTCTCCCTCCTCTCTTCTCTCCTTTCTATCTATATATTTCTCTTTCTTTCTCTGCCTCTTTTTCTCTTTCTCTCCCTTGCGATTCGCCTAATGAAGGCCGATAAGGCTACGATAGATTCAGCAATATCGGCGGCTTAGACAGTGCCGTTCGACCGAGTGTCTCCAATGAGAGAACGAGATGGGTTGTATATTAAGTCGTAAAATCGAGAGATCTGCATTTATTAAATGTTTCCCTCGATTTTATCTCGTCGCGGGGATTCTCGACGTTTTTCGAGTCAAATTAATCGGAGCAGTTACGACGACGCATTCCGTTGCTCGCAAAACTGTCGGGAGCTCCGTAAATTCGTCACGCGTTTGTCATATGATGCAATATAAAAATAGCGTAATATGTGCACAGGTAAAGTGATACAAAGGTGATATTAAAATCCGGTCTTGGGAAAACTCGCGGTATCTCGGAAAATTTCCGCGGCAATACGATAGAAAGTTTTCCGTAACTTCGGAGTTTCCGTAAAGACGAGAGGGGCAAAAGGGACGGTAAGAGATGCCATTAGAGTGAAAGCGCGCGGTATACAATGATTTGAACAATTATGCGATAAGTGGATGTAATCGTGTGTTCAACTTAGATCGCTGGACGTTGCTTAATTTCAATATTATACGACGAGGATGACTTCGTAGTTTGTCCGGCTATGAAATTATTTCGGAAAATCCTCTTGTTTTATTCATCTCCCGTGAACTTTCCGATACGCGACGTGCTAGAAACTAAATGCGAAGCGAGTAGTATTTTAATCGGTGTTCAGTAATGATTAATATAATAACATTTATCGTTTTAACGATATAAATTATAAATGTTCGAAAGTTAAATTATATTTTAGCAACTAAATTATATATATATTTCATTGCATCTAAATTCTGTTCTTGTGGCTGATGGTTTCGTTGATTTTAAACTCATTTTTCGTTAATAATGCATTTTAGCGGGAATCCTCCAATCACGCTATTATTGTGTCCAATTCTTCAATTAAATAACAGGCTACCTTCGTAATCGATCAATGACGTGACTCAACGTTACCCGCTCGTGCTAGAAACTAAATGCGAAGTAGTAAGTCGTATTTTAAGAGTACAGTCCACTAAATATCTAATTAATCTTCTCGATATCGCTATTTCTCTCTGAATTTGAAAAGAATACGAGATATTTTCCTCGGACGATATTTCGTCGGATAAGAAGCAGTAAATGCACGTTTTAAAAATTAATTCACAGATATCGTAAAAAGATAATTAATAATTTTACGCTTTCATGCTGTTAAATTAAATTTGGCGGGATCGTCGAGGAAATCGATGATACACACTCTGCGTCGATCGCTAAGAAAAATGACGGGAAACCTAGCTTTTTCCTGCTCCGAGGAAATAACCGCATTTGGGAGCGGCGCTTCTGTAAATACGACATTTTCAGCGAGAGGCGTGCGCGAATTTCGATCGCGCCGTGTTCATTTAACCCGTCGCCGGCATTAAAAAAAATTCCAACGGCAAATATAACAAGAACGAGTAAAAAATCAAATATAAATATGTTTTGTATCGCTCCGATATAACCAGATCATTCGTCGTTGCCTGTGTATCGGTGTATTGTGATACCATGGGAGATTTCATTCCTTCGAATCTTGTCCTCATCACCGACAAATTTTGTATATTTACACTGTAGATATTTAGTGTGGAAATTTGTTATTTCTACGACACACACGTTACGTGCGCGTGCGTGATCCTCACTAGAATTTCCATTAAGGAAAACTCGACTGAAAATATATTGGAAATCGAAATATATCGCGCACGGCTATATTACCGATTTCCACGTATTATGTTGCGACACACCCTGTATATTTTACTTCTCAGACTGCGCTGGCTAATGCTATGTGGACTGCGGAAATAGAAAAAGCGGTTTAACGATGAAACCGCACGAACTTCACGCACGGTATCGCGTGATTAGCGCCCCACATTTCTCTCTCTCTCTCTCTCTCTCGTAGTAACGCTTTCACTGATCCAACAATGCTCCGGAATTTTGCGAGTAGCTTTCGTTTCATTTTTCCGCTCCACGAGCGGATAACGTTGAGTCACGTCATTGATCGATTACGAAGGTAGCCTGTTATTTAATTGAAGAATTGGACACAATAATAGCGTGATTGGGGGATTCCCGGCAAAATGCATTATTAACGAAAAATGGGTTTAAAATCAACGAAACCATCAGCCACAAGAACAGAATTTAGATGCAATGAAATATATATATAATTTAATTGCTAAAATATAATTTAACTTTCGAACATTTATAATTTATATCGTTAAAACGATAAATGTCATTATATTAATCATTACTGAACACTGATGTTAATTTAATGAACAATAATTTTATTTAGAAAAGTAATTAAATTTCGATAATAACTGTAATTCGATGGAAAAACGAAATTTATATTTTTGTTATCAGTTTGGCGTTTTTTGTATTTACACATTTAAATACAGGCTCATCCATTGAGCGCGTTTGTTGCACGTCTTATGAAACTTTTTACAAAATGAACGTAATAACGATATAATGAAAATTTTGCATGTAATGAGGCTTTCAAACCGGTTGAAATGATTTTGATGTTGCATGCGCTCTATTTCCGTAATAATAATATTTATAACGCCGGAGAATATTGATTTAATTAATGTATACGCAAATGTGATTTCATGATAATGATTAATGCGCAAATTAAGCTCTCGCAAAATATGATATTTTCTTTTTGCGGATTTGCACGATACGAAGTTGACGTTTAATATCATTTGAATCGAATTGCCGGCAAAGATATACGCAATATAATGGTTTACGCGTATTTTCGGAACAGCCAATGTCACAAAAAATACATAAAGTTATTCCTCCAACTATCTCGACGTTACTTCGACCACTCATATGGAGTGTATCGCTTAAGTTACGTAACTTCTGTAGGATTACGTGGCTCGATATTATATCAAATTTCCAGTCGAGTGTTTCAGTTACTACATAATTTAATGTATTCTTTTTGTGCGTCGCGGACATATTCAAAATAGATATTTTTCGTGTTTAAATATTCCGTGATCATTACTCGCGCATCGATTCCCTGGTCGCGCCATTAATCAGGGATTTGCATAATTTTAATTAAAAAGCACGCGTTCGCAAACGATCGAGAAACAAATTTCATTAAATCCTTCCCCAGTCGCTGATTAACTAGCTGCTCGCGCTAGGTTGGATTTACGTTAGCGACAGTGACACCGTCGGGATTCATATTTATCTGGAGTAAAAATCACACTGGACAGGCTGCTATCCTTGGAATATTTGCATACTTACGGAACGTATTGGAGCTCGGTACATTTCGTAACTTGTAACGGATAGCTCGATCGTGACAATAAATTACCTCGCTCCCTTATTTACCGCTATGAGATTGCGCAAGGAAGATGGATTCGTTTTGAAAATTTCGCCGGAAAATGAGAATTTTTAATGGAATATACCGTTTCTACGGGATCTCTCCTTGTTGTGAAAAATGAAGATATTTTGTAAAATTGTCCAACATTTTTGCGTGCATTTTCGCTCTCGCCATCTGCAACTTAATCGTCGTTGATCTCTCGACATAGTTTTGTTGAAAGAGAAACGGCAAAATAAGCCATACACGAGAAGTGATTCGGTAAAGCAGATACTCCTGCACGTATTGTCTTGTAGAAGAAAAAAAAAAAGAGAAGAGGAAACACAACCTCTCGGCAGGCAACCGGAAAGTTGCACAGTCGTAATGACTTCCGATATTGTTAGGACTTGTATCCCCGAACTTCTGCTAAGTAATGAATGAAAATAAAGCGTACTGTACAAAATTTGTAGGCAGTGCATTAGCGTAATGGAAAAAACACTCTTATCTGCAAGGCAGTCATTAAGTTTAAGCTCTTTCATGTACGGATAAACTTCCTTTTGTCATGAATATTATGGAAACGTGTCTTGCAACTTCATGGAGCTAACGAGAACTTTTTCCCGGCGTTACATGTAAGTCAGTCACTTTGAACTGAGCGTAATATATCAAAGCATTTATATCCAACACTCTCTTCTTTAACGATATTTTATTCCGGGATAACTCTATCGTGCACTGTGCGCCATGATATGACTGTGATTATATTACGATTAACGCGCGAAACATTTACTTTAACTATTATCGTACGGATTCGGACTGATCTGACGTTTCTACTTTTAAAAAAAATAATATAATTTAATCTACGGACAAGAGTGACTCGGGTGCACGTGTTTTTTCGTGCCGTGCTTTTCAATTAACTTGAAATTTTTAGAGAGAGAGAGAGAGAGAGAGAGAGAGAGAGAGGAGGAGAGCAAGAGAGAAACATACAAATAATTCTCAAGGAACAAATAGATATTGAGAAATTATTTTTTTATTAGGATCTTGTAAAAAAAATTAATTAATTAATTATAATCACTTTTTATGTATTCTCGCGGGGTTATCTCGTTGTTGACATTTTTCTGTTTTATATACCTAGTGACTTAATCTATATAAAAATATCCTCGGTATATGCGATGACTTATACCCGTATCGTGTCCATTTCTCTTAATTAGAAAAAAAGAGAATCGCTCGGCTCTCCTTATAAAGTTTTGCAAACTTTGTCCGGCAAATATTTAGTTGCGTGCGCGAATGTATCGTTGCTAGTCCAGTGTGCATTACGTAATTATGATTAATGGCGCGAGCATTCGTTGTAATGTTCACGTTTGTTTTTTTTTCTTTTTGGTCACATGTAACGGTTTTAAAAGGATTGTAACTATGAAAACTGGTTTTCAAAATTGCAGTTGCATTGTGTAACGACGTTCAATTACTAAATAATTATGCTTGCAATTCCTTTACAGAATAATGATTGTACATTAATCGAGTAACAATCGATTAACAGCGTTTTTGTTTATGGCTCTTGAATTTATTGCTCAACTTCTATTGTTATCTTCAAAATTATTGTCGTGTTTCCTTGCAGCTGCTAAAATATCCCCGAATTTTTCGCTTTTTATTAAAATAATTGTATCGTAAAATGCCGAATTTTCAGTTGCGATATTAAAAGACCTCTACATAAATTTATTATTTACCGGAAAAAATATACTTTTCTATAAATTTATTTAACTATTTAAATAATAAATGTTAATTTTGAGCGAAATTAAAATAAATATATACATAATATTATAAACATATAGATATTATTTACTTCGTATTTTTCTTATTAATATTTTATTTATACGTCAGTTGAGCTAATAGAAGTAAACAATAATAAAAAGTAATATATAAATATTTAAATATATGTATATATACATATATATCGCGGGTATTACTATAAATTATAAATTTCCTACGATTATATTTCTAAAACAAAGCGATTAATAATTTTGAAATGTATATTTCTATATGTATATGTATTGTTGTATATTTCTATATTTAATCGATATAGTTAATCCTTAATATCACAATAGTTTTTCACTAAAATCCCAAATAATTTAGAAGAAATAAAAAATAGAAATTAAAATTAGGACACCTCAAGGAATACATATAAAAAGTGTCATCTTTAGTTGTGAATATCCCAGCTTCCAAATGGTTAATCCGAATCGTTTACTAATTGCATCAATCGTTAGGTCATATTTAAATTTATTTAAATTTATATATAGTGTAAATTTCTGCGAATTAAAAAAAATTCATTTTATGCTATAATTTTATTTTAGGAGTCGCGTCTTGCGTATTTTAATACATATATATTTGCAACCAAACACATACGCACCCGAGAGAAGGTCTAAAATAAAAGAGTCGAAAACAAAAATTGCGAATTACTCCAACGCGCGCAAATTTTTGCACTTCATAAGTCTGCGGTAGCGAAGGGGTTGGCGGAAGCAATCAGTACGCGTTACTGACCGACGGACTAGATGTATTAGGTACACGGGGTAACCCACATAAATCTCAAGCTCGTTGGCCACCGAGCGTGCTTCGAAGTTGTTTTTGTTGCGTGGAGCCACGCGTTCTGCTGAGTGGACTTCGTAGCAAGAAATGTGACCCGTGTGGCCCCACCGACGCAGCCGCCGGTGGTAGTCAGATTTTCAGGGCAGATTCGGCGGTACTATTTACCGAGCGGCGCGCGAGTGCAGCGTGCCGCGTCGGTTTCTAGCTCAGTTCGGCCAATCAGGAATAATAATGGGATTTGACCGTACACTTCGCCCACCGGTTACCAATCTCGTGTACACCAGTTAGCCCCGTGTGACACGAAAGCCCGCAATGGGCCTAGTTCGACACCGAACGACATTGTCTACTCAGCAACCTGTTTATCCCCACGCAACAAAAACAGCCTTGAATCACGCTCCCCCCGCCGTCATTGTCCCCGTCGCTGACGTCGTTGTCGTCGGTGTCGGGATTTACCTCCTCGACTTGAGACCGCTAACCCGGGAAAAGGTAACCGCGTGGGACGTACAAGTCCATATTTCGCACGGAGCCCCTGGAACCGCGATCTCGCACAAACAAGGGGATCCGTGATACCTTCATCTTTTTTTTATGACGGACCCAGAGGCCTAGAGCCTGACCGGTCATGTATTACGTGCGTCGGAACCCTAGATATATTAAGTGTAACAGGAAATGTACACATATCACGCGTCGTGTTACGGAGAAATATGTACGTGCGAATCCCGCGCACGTTTTTTATATTGCACCGTAACATTTTATTTTTTTTCTCCCGGGCTTAGGAACGATAGATAATCAGCAATCTGTCTCCTTAACATTGCAATCTTCATTCGCTCGCAATTGATACAATTGGGCGTCGCCCCGCTCTCGGCGTATGAAAACTAATCCGCGTCGAGACGTCTCTCGGAAACGGAGTAGAAACACACAGCATCGTATCTCATCGTTATCGTCGTATTTCAAGAAGTACCGGTTTTACGACGTATATTTGTTGTGGAGGCTCCTTTTTACTTGCTCCTCCTTGCTCGGGCGAATGTTATATACTCACTCAAAAGAGGCTAAGAGTAAGAGGGATAGAGGAGCTCGTAGTTTTTTTCCTCAAAAGACCCCGTATGCTTGTGCTACATATAAACGTCTTCGGGAATGCATAAAACGATAAAGAGAGGCGCGCCGACGTAAAATCGATCAGACGTAATCTTCGAGGCGGTCTACTGCCCATCGCCAAGGGATATCCGCGAAGTTTCCGGATGCAATCGCCGGGGGTTGCTTTCACGGCGGTTAATCCGAACTAATCTTGGGTAATCCTATCGATATATACGATGACAAAGCGACAGAATACACGGAAAGACGGGGGTTTCTCACCTCCGCCGGTGGTTTCCCGGCGAGACTTATGCATTCGATCACCAGTTCGCGATCCTCGGTAGTGACGAGGAAGTCGCCCTGCAGGATCTTCGGCTTCTGCGGCGGCACTAGGACGCTCAGTCGGGCGAATCTCGATCGCAACGCCGGCTGTCCGTCGTTCGTCGGCGAAGCCTGACATTGGTACATGCCGTCGTCCTCGAGATCCACCGGATATATGTGTAGCGAGAAATCGCCTGAAATCAGAGAAAAACATCGCGAATAAGTATCGTGAAGTCTGACATTGGAGACTTTGGAAAGTATTCTTATCGTCTTCTCCCCCTCCTTCATCCGTAACTTTCGCGACGCGTTAAAGCTAAAGCCGCATTATCCTCTATTAATTCTGGTTGAACTTTCTTCTTTGATGAAATCTCAACCCTTTGTGGTCCCGTTGTCCTTCCTAAATCCGATTCGTAGAAACTCATTTACTTCGCGACAATATCGCGTAACTTTCATTTCAATATTTCAGTATTTGACTACAGAAGAAAAAATTAGTGACTAATTTTGTTTTCTGTGCAATGCAACACATTTACAATGAAATACATTGATATATTAAATACTGTTCAATGCTTTATATTATAATTTAAAACCATTTAACATTATTTAGCACCATTTAAATCGAATATTATTAATGTATAAAAGGATATTTTATAAAATCGGCTGTGATTCTACGAATGAATGAGATGGACTCGTTTCGGATATAAAACCGCAAAGGGTCAATGCCGACTTCAGTCGCAGCATGGTACACGTATCGTGGCGGATAGAAAAATTGCGGTAAACGACGACGTCCCTCCACATTCTCGTTGAGGAAAATCGCCTCTTCAGGCTGATCACGAGATCAGTCTGCGAGATATAACATGGTGGATAAGCGCGATACTTTTATATTACGTAGCTATTCTGAATCGGAGGCGGGAGGGATGAGAAAGACGATTTCAACTCGGCCACGGAATACGGCGTTTACGTCGTCGTCCCGAAACGTGGATATCGTGCGGCGCGCCTTTATTTTAAACGTTTTTAGCTCGTTGCGTATTCATGCGAACTGTCAAGAGCCAGCCAGCCTGATAACTGCTATCGACGAATTAGAGCGAGTTCATTCTACCGTGAGAAAGAGCTTTCCCCTTCTCCTCTCTGTTTCTCCCTCTCTCCGGTGTCTCTTTTTCATGTCTCTTCCTGGCGGTTTTCAACCGCCGATTCTCTCGTCAAATCGCGAGAATTGGTGCATTGTCTGTCGAGCGAAAGTGGCGTCGCTCAAAAGTATCGCGAGCGTCGATTCACGCCGAGTCGCGTCACGAACGGTAACGTATCGCGCTCGAATAAATCCGCGTCGCCGTGCAATTTATCCCCCTCTGCGCGCCGCTTCCTTCTTTCGCGCACTTTTTTTTCCTCCCCGCCGTTCCGCCCGTCCGATCCTTCTCGCGGATCGATGTCACGCATCCCGATGCTATAACACATCACGCTTCGGATCGGGCGCGAAGCGAACAAAGCGAATACGACGAAAGAGACGTTCCGCGAATGGGCGCGGTGGTCGAAGGGACAGCTCATGGTCAGACAGCGGAAAAATGTAATTGTCAGTCACCGTATGCGTGCGCGACGAGGGATAATTCCTACAATAAATTGCACCTTCGCGATAAAGCAGCCGGCTGCCGGCCAGGGACGCGTTAAGGACGCCTGTCGGTCGTATGTGTCAGCCCTAATTTCACCATCTTTCTACGCTACGCAAAATCCCGAATATCGCGAAATGCCAAATATAGCAATACGGATATAGAGGGAAATAAGTATAGATATAGAGAAAAGGATACATATATATATATCCATTACATATATATTAAATCCTTTTCTCTATGTCTATATTTATTTTCCTCTATATCCGTCTCTCCTCTCCGCGTATATATATACGTATACATATATAGAGAGAGAGAAAGAGAGAGAGAGAGGGTATATATCAAGATATTGAGCGAAGACACTGGATGGATGATGATGCTACGATAAAGAAACTATAATTTCATTCCCGTCGAATTAATCACCGTCGTAAAATGGAAACCTTTGACGCGCCGACTAAAAGAGAAGAACATAAGAGAAAGACAGAAGGAGTGAAAAAGAGATAAAGGGAGGTCGGAGAGGAAGAGAGAAAATGAGTAACGCGATAATAATTTAATTTAATTCGAGGCTCGCGCGGAATAAAGTTGCTCCCTCGTCGCGCGATTTATACGATTCGACGTGACGCTACGTTATTTAGTATTCACATATATATTTTTATTTTCTAGATGTACACGTTTGCGCGATATTTTTTATGCATTTTCCGTCAGAGGAAGGGCCGTACAACCCTTGCATTCACGGTCGGCGCGTCCCTGCGTCCGAGCTACGGTGGCTTATGCTCGATGAAACGTATGAGCCGTTCGTAATACCGTGCGTTTCAGCCGTTAAACGTCAGGACGTTATCGAAAATAATTTCCCTGGGAAATTTCGGTGCGGTGTGGGATGACGCGAAAAGCTTCGCGTAGTCGCTCGTCCGTGGTCGCGCGAGTAAAATTGACGAGCGCGCTCCTGCATTAAATGATAAAGCGTTTTTGCGCTCTACCCTTATTTATTTCGAACTGCAGCATATTTATTCACTATTCCTCCCGGACATATCGATGGCCGATTTACTTTCTCTGTAGTCGTTTGATTGGACGGCATATTATATGACGAGAGAGTGATTCGATTCATCGACTGGCATTTTCCCCGCAAATAGCGAGCTCGAAGAAGTTTCCGAGGATATATCTTACACTGTTTTCCCCTTCACTCCCTAAATACTCCTGACAAGAAAACGCCTTTATCCCTAAAAGACATATATAATGCTGAATTTGATCTCGTTTCTCTTTTTTAACGCGCGACGCGGGATGAAAAGCCCCCCCCCCCCCTCTCTCTCTCTCTCTCTCTCTCTCTTTCTTCGATAATCATCCACATTCGCGCGAGTTAAAAGCCAATTGAGTCGTACATTTTCTTGCCAACTACAATTAGCGCCCCTTTCCAGGACCGTTGAGTAAACTTTGAAACTCTGACACACAGAACGTCGCCCGTAGACTTCTGTAATACTACGATAATTACTTTCGCCAAGTATAGTCAACATGATATATCGCGATGTCAGTCGAGGTGATCATCTATAATGTACTCATAATCAGTTGAATTTACTTCGACGAATGTAACTTAGTAATTCTCGTGCTGTGAAACTTGCTCCGAGCGCGAACACGAGCGCGCTATTGTTTGCGCAGCCGGTATCGCGCGCGCGTACGACCCTCTACTAAAGAGACTTTCTTGGGAGATCTACATTTTACAATTTTCTTTTATGTTAAGTTATTTTAAGTTTAACCCTGGAGTAGTTTCGGAACATTATATAACGATAGTGTTTTATCGTTAAAGTGGCACAGTTTGCTGGAGTATCGCATCGGTTGGGTTGTGCAAATGCAATATCGCTGAGCAGTGTTTTTCAATCAGCGCTTTGCAAGCTCGAAGAATCCACCTTTTACGATGTTTCCCTTTATTTTATTTTGTTTTATTTCAAGTTTACTCGAGGTTACTCGCTCGCTAACACCAGCGGGAAAGTGCGGATACGCGTGTGTATTTATTTCGAATGCTTCGTCATACTCTTCTTCGCAGCGCGACGAAAAATTTTCCACCATCAGAAAAATGAAAAAAAACACACCTCGGAAAGACACACAGATGTAAATTTTTCGTATCGTATGTTTTATCGTTCAATTATTCTCTACGTTCTGTCTATTTATTTTTTTAATCTTCCGTACACGGTATGGTTGACTTTTCTCGTTGCTTTCTCGGTGATAGTCGCATTAGAAAGATAGGAGGCTAGAGAAAATGGCCGACTGGATGAATGATGGTGACAACTTCCTATATAGAAAATGTTGACGTACATCAGTGCTACCGGGTCGGAAAGTTTTATAGAAGAGATCCTCAAATACTCTACACACCTGCGCGTCAGGTAAAGTTTGTTGCATTAAGCGTGAAAAATTATAATGCCCGGAAAACTTTGACGCACGGCAGAAATGAAGTCAGCCTTGATCATATTAAAATTCTCGCCGAATTTTCTGAAATATGAATCGTTACGGATATCCGATGGGAAAGCGATAAAGCAATTTAAAAACTTTCGTAATTATAGATCGCTGTAAACTCTTATCTTTCAATTTCCGCGAGAAATATCTTACCGATATTACGTTTTATTGTGCGCGACGGCGCGGTAGACTGGTTCGATATCGCGCCAGAATTCTCTGGTCTTCGTATTGCAATTTGAGAACATTTCCGACGTAAGGTCCGACGTGGAGTCCGACGTGCAGGGGATAGTACAAAGGGAAAAGGACCTTTTGACGGCGAAGACATGAGAAGAGCCGTAACGACTCGCTCGATACGGCGGGACAATGCATCGCGAACAATTAGTTTTAGCCCTTACGTTGGCCGCCGCGCTAGCAAGCAGCCATAATTAATTTTAACTAAAACACGAGTCGTGAAACGAACACTTACACCGCAAACCGTCGCGATCACGATACATTACCTTTGAAGAGCCATGAGCTTACGACAGATTAGCCGATTGAAATTCATGAGAATCGCGATCTGATCTCCCGCGAAGCACTAATATATGATGTAGGGACTTAAATACTGCATTATTGACGATTATCTTTATACCATACATCTACATTATATAATACCTATTTGCCGGTGTGTAATATGTTATCATTAATGTTATACAGGTTGTCTCAAAGTTCACGTTAAATATTTCAATAATAAATTATCTATAACAATCTAAGACGAAGATATTGATGGAGGTCACACTAATGGCAACTTTTCAATATTTAATATAACATATCTTTGTAGCTAAGTCTCAAATTAAAATTATGTCAAACTAAATACCGTTTGAAATTAATTGGAGAAAATAGTTTTATTATTGTTCTTTTGCTCGCCCGAAGCTTAGTTCGCGAAAAGCTCCACTTTCTCAATCGTTCGTATCTCGACAATTATTGATGCCTCGACGTTTCTGCATTTGAATTTTTGTCTTAAAATGTTACACAAAGAGAATCTATTATTAAAATATTTACCATAAACTTTAAGACATCCTCTATAGTTATGATATAAATATATCAACACATTGTAATTTCATGACCACACGATGAAGTTGATGTGTGCAATATATCGTTTCGTTCGGCGATCTATT